CACACGCTCTGTCGGGAGTGGCCGGGCCGGGCCGTCTCGACAGAACTGTTCGCTTTCTCCTGTGTTCACTGTGGGTTCCTCGGTTTCTCCTGGCCGGTTGATCCCAGCTGCCAAGCTGGGCTTAGTCCATCCCCATGCACCTTCTCCATACAACAGTTAAAGTCATGGTCATCGAGTGCCTTGTAACTCCTGTCGTAGCCGTGGGTTAATGCTGTAGTCGGGAAGTATGTGTGCTTGTCACACCTGATAAAGGGGAATTTCTTATATGGGCAAAAGTGTTTCCAGTAGCCACCAACCAGACTTTTGTACAGCCATTTCTTGCTACCCTGTGTAAAAAGGCCTTGTCATGGGGAGATAAATAAAAAAACCAAAACCAAACAACAAACTGTTCAGTCTGTTTGTTTGGTTGTTAAGCCAAATAACCTGTAGCTAAACCCAGTTCTGTTGCCAAGCCTGTCTAGATTGGTACTTGGGTTTCCACTTCCTTTATTATTGCTCTTGCTCATCTTTCTTTGTATCTTTCTACATGAAGTGTGTTCCTTACCCCCTAGTGAACGTTTGGGCAAAATGTTTTGGGTTTTTTCTTTTTTTTTTTTAAGTAAAAGCTTGCTGAACCATATGTGAACCATTTGTTCCACAAGCCAAATCTTGCAAGCTTTCTTATTTGCTGTGTCAAGAACCCAAGTGGAATCAGGATTTGAAAGTGTGTTTGAAAATAAGTCCCTTCCAGCTTTCATAAGCTATCTAATGGCTCAGCAGTTTGGCTTGTCCTCCCATCATCTGTAGCATTCAGTGTAGTAGGCCTTCTCAGACTAGCCCATGAAAAATATAGAAGGAAGGTGGTAGTGGCCTCCTTTTTACACATTAACTTAAATATTTAGAGTATTTCTTCAGTGTGGGAGAAGTCTGAGGGTCAACTTTTCTGTGTGAGGAAGACCCAAGCCCATCTTTCTCACCTGTTCAATATATACTTTAATTGTGGATTCTTATCAGTTCCTTCTATTTAGTTACTCCAGGCACATGAATATTTTCAATATTCTTGTTGAGGGAATGAGCATGACCTTTCACCTGGTGATTAGAGAAGTTAATAAAAAGGGGAGGCTTTGAAGAGTACTCAGATCTTACCCAGGCAACACAGTGGTTTTTTTTTCAAATGCGATGAATTTAATGTGTTTGACGCATTTTCCATGATTGTGGAATAGATTGTTTTGAAGTTTGTGTGAATTACCTTGGCAAAAAGACAGGTGCCAGAGAGCTGTGATGCTGATGTACCTCTTAGCTGCTTAGTCATTTAGTGGACCCTGTGCTTCTCATCACTGTACATAGTATTAAGGAATGACATTGGTGTCTGATGTATGTGGTTTACTAAAGCTAATATGTAAAGTAAGAAGGTGCCTGAGCTGAAGAGGAGGAAACACTGAGGGTGAGACTGTATTTCAAATGCCTTTCTTTACTAGGACTTTCGTCATCTGATGCTCCTTAATATTGATTTCAATTTTTTTAAGAAGTTGTGTATGGCAAATTAATTTGTGTTTTCTTCCTGCTTTCTCTTCCTCTGCTTAATTACATATGCTACTGAACTGTTTTATACTTTCTGAAGAAAATGTAAGCGGAAATTGAGAACTAAAGCGAATAATTAAGGCATGCTTGTCTGACCAGTTCACTTTTTGTAGTTATTAAACAGTAATTGCTTTTACAAGTGTCTTTTACTGATAAGAGGGGAAAGGCATCAGCGTCTCTGGTTAAGAAACGCACTCAATTTTTCCTGTAGTTCGAGTGACCCAACTGTCAGTGGTCCAAAGTACTGAAGTTGCGGCTCGTTGGAAGCTGCAGCTTGCCAGAAATTGCTGTGTTACAGTCTTAAAAGGATTTTTATCCTGCCCTATGAAAACTTTGTTTCCATATTGCTTTGGGGATGCAAACTAATCAAATGCATGTCTCGTTGAGCGCGAAGCATTGAAAACACCAAAGACCTTGCTTTGGCGCAGTAGCAGCTTTAATAATGAAAGTCAAGATAGTGTGGTCATTTGAGAAATACAGGGCTTCTGTGAAGTAAATCACATCCTGGAGCTTTGGAAAGAGGAAGGCTTGTTGTATGGTTGTGGTAGTGGCTTGCTTTGGTTTTTATCTTCACCTAGCCATCAATTGCTGATGGAGGTCAATGAATGCTCATAGGCCTTTTTTCTCTTTCCTTTGTTTTTTTTTTTTTTTTCCTGTATTACCTAATTTTCCCTTGCCCTGGAAGGAAGATAAGTTTGTCTGATGAGATCATCATCATCTTTTGTTTACTCCCCAAATAACCACAAGACAAAGATGGCTTTGTAGTTTGAACTATAGATATTCCTACTGATGATTAATATCCACTGTAGAGCTCCACCTCAAAGCTTCACTCAAAAGAAATTCTATCAAGTCCTGATTATGACTGGAATTTGATACTGAGACTCTCTTAAAGGCTGCAGTCTTTATTTATTTCACATAATCTCTAAATTGAGCCTTTCTTGTCCATATGCACAGGTGAAACTCTCCTAACTTTGCATTAGTGAAACATTCTCCCCACCCCCAGTCTTGGCAAATGCAGTCATTTCACCTAGCTGGATGATCCTAGGAGACTTAAAAAAGAAAATTACTGGTTCATTGCTTTAGTCATAGAACTTCTTTTTCTTCCATTTTTTTTTTTACACTTTTTTGGTTGGCTACAGAATAAGCAGTTAGTCTTTCCTTTCCAAGCCCATCCTCATCCTAGCTATCAGTTAGGTCAGCTTCAAAGCCTAACAGTTTGTGGTCCAGCTCCTTGTCATATGTTTATGTTTTCAGATAGAGGAACCTCTGTGCTGCCCTTCGTGCTTGGAAGAAGTTCCTCATAAAGATGTGCAAAACTTCCTCATCCACCCTTAAAATCTGATGGCAGCATTAAGCATATGGTGCTGAGCACAGCACAGAGAAAGATTTTTTTTTTTTTTTTGTCTCATGTACATGAACTGTAAGGGCTTCTGCTGTTCATTGTTATGTAGGACTGAACTCAATGAGACTAGGGTCTATGATTAGTGTTAGAAGGCACTGTAATAATGCTGCCATTAGTAAATCAGTCCATCTCTAGGCTCTTGAAAACTAGAATATTGAAAATAGAACTTAAGTTTCCCAAATAGTAGTCAGTGCACTTTATTTCATACCTATGTTTTCTCATATTTATTATACTTTAGACCCAAAAGCAAAATAGATTTTTAGCCTAAAAATTGGTCCTTGTTTGAAGGGTGTTATGAGTGCAATACTTAATTCTCTGAAAACATGTTAAAAAAACCTGTTAACCCGTCTGTAAATGGTAATCCAAATATCATTGATGTTATTCAGTACTGAGGTATGTAAAGAAAGTTATAACTGTTTTTCCCAAGGGATTAAAAGTTCAAACCACTACAGTCTTCTGAGCTTTAAGATCTCATGTTCTGCTTTGCTGACAATGAGATACTTTCTTTTTTCTATATTCTAAGTAATATGTAGCTACATCTTCAATTCAAGGTATATTTAATATCATTCAGAAGTATAGTCTTTAGTTTTAGTTACTACATATAAATGAGAAAATATGTGTAATTAATAGTGGCATAGCTTTGATGCAAAGTAACTTCTGTAGCTACTTCCATTTTTCTGTTAGCTTATTTTTCCTTACAGATGGAATTGCTGTTTTGTTTGTATGGTTTTTGTCATGCCTTTAAGTTTATGAAAACTTTTTACTTCTGTAGCTATGGGCAATGTATTAGTTTTGTATTCTAAAAAATGTACGTGAAAAGGCTAGCTGCTTTGATCAAAGCACTGTTTCTGAACATCTTGACCAGAAAAGCCACATTGGAGCCACACTTTTTTGGAACTGGACTCTTCATAGCCTTACTGTGATGACAGGGTCAAAAGAAGTTGACCTATAGTTTAGGAGAGTAACTTAGAAATTAAATCTATAAACTGTTTTGATCACTAAGCTCTGGGAGTAATGGGGAGGCCTAGGACAACAAAAGTGTCTGGTTTTAAGTCACTTTTCCTATGGCTTGTTTGGCTTTTGAGTGTTTATTAAATGGTCTACACCACTAAGCTTCACAAGAACATCATTCTTAAGACAGGCTAATTTAGAAGGTACTTTTTCCCAGATCACAGATGGTAAGGAAAACTGAAGAGAAATTTTGAGTAGTTCATGCAAAGGCACCTGGGAGAGCTTAAGGGAGACATGGTTTACACAAAATGTTTTAACTTAGTCTCTGCTTTTACCTCCAAATGGTCTGTTTCCCTAACTTTGATGCAGTGTTTCTGTAACTTGCATAGCTTCCATAGTAAGTCGGTTTTTTTGTGTTAACATACTGCGATACCTTTGTTCAGGTTAACTGTGCTTCTTAAGAGACTCTGTGTTAAGAGCAAAGTCATGCACTTGGTGGTTCTTGGGGTGTTAACCAGTGTCCTAGAAAGTCTGAGAACTTGCTAGAAACATTACTTGCAGCCAATTGTGTCAAATGTAATCTATGATACACAAAGTAGTGTCATGAAATCCAGGGTAATTTATGAATTCATATCTTGGCAGGAGAATGTGTCCCTTGCTGATATTTTGTCACTGCGGGATAGCTGTCTTACAGAGCAAGATATTTGGGCAATTTGCCTGGAGTGTTGCCATTCTTTGAAGAGCATTGCCCATTCTGCAATCTTCCAGACACTCTGCATCACTCCTGACACTTTGGCTTTTAACACCAATGGCAATGTATGCTTCATGGAACAGCTCAGTGGTAAGTATTTGTGTTTCCAGGCCATTTGTTTTAGAACTATGGAAACACATAGTGAGAGACTGTAGTAAAGCATTATATTTTATTCTTAAGATTTGTAATTAAAATAAAGAGAAAACAAAAACTTGTTCAGGAATGGGTGAGTATAGGTCTGTATGAAACTACATGCTCAGTTTTGTGACTGATGAACAAAGGCTTTTATTAGTTTGCTTAGAAGATTCTTCCTAGTTATTTTAAGATTTATCCAGGGGGATGTAATTTATCTCCATTTTTAAACACTGTAGGTTATGTATTTGTATATCTGTGTGCACCAATCTCTACCTATGTAAAGCACGTTCTTGGTCTCTTCCAGTCCTTCTCATTTCACGGATATGTTCTATTTCTAGAGAAATCTGACATTCAATGTACCGTGGTAATTGTGGCCATAGAGAATGGGGAAATTCTAGTGCATATTCACTGTTAGAAAGGAAAGCGCTCTCTCTTGAATAAAGGATTATTACGTTTTTCAAAGTCGTGATTTTGAGACTCAGCAAGTGTGGTGACTGGCTGAGAAATGAATTTTAATATGCTAAAAACCAGTATGTAGTAAAATTACTTCTGATTTCAGCACAGACAAAAAAGCATGTTATTGTTGCTGTTCCCTTTTCACATGACCCATCTCGAGAGTCTTTGCCTTGGACCTGTTAGGGATATTACAAAATAAAACACACAAAAAAACCCCAGCCCTTATTCTATAGTCCTTTTAAAATTATGTCAGCTTGTAACCAAAAGAACCATTCTAGTCCATGTACACATTATTCAGATTTTTATGTTTTCTTTAACCTAATTTATTTTTGAATCTACATCAGAGTAAGTGTTTGTTCTTTTAGTCAAAATCTAGATCACGGTATTTAGAAAAAATGGAGTAAGGTAACTTTGCAACAAATTAATATTTGTTGCTGCCTTTAGAATTAAAAATAGTATTTCAAATAAGCATGTAACATCATAAAATGTATTTAATAAAGATGACAATATATCTTCATAATTGTTGTGGTGTTTGTTTTGTGCTTAAATTCCTCAAATATATGTGAGTCAACTTTTAGTTCCGTGTTAATAGTAATGTGGAATCAATTTCCTTTGTTTTAAGGAGCTTGTCATAACTTGAAATTTAAAAAAAAAAAAACACCTGACTTTGTATTTGTGAGGGTATATGAAAGACTTGTTGAAGAGAGTAAGTCTAGTGGATGAAAAATGCCCCTTAACTAAGATCTTTGCTTGCAGCTGGGAAAGGGAAAAAAAAATCAATTTCATCTTAAATGTTTTAGTCTAATTGAATAGCTGGCAAACAATTGATCCAGGAATTTGCTGTATTTAAGTGCTTGAAATGTGGGAAAACAAATTCCTGTGCAAAGCAGATGTACAAAGATTTTGTTCGCAGAAGTCATGTTAGTCTCTGAGGAAAAGACTTTTTCATTAATCCTCTTTAAAGAAAGTTGCATTTTTCCTAGGAATGCAAAAAGTTATGTATGTATTCTATTCCCCTTCCCTTCCACTGTGTCTTTGACTCTCTTCCCCTTTCCCTTAGATCTTGTTACTATTTGGTTAAAATATAGTTTGTTAGGTAGGCACTTGGGGAAGTTGTCCTTTTTGCTTCCTGATAGTTGTTGCCTATGGATTTATTCTTCCAGAAGAAAATAAAACCTCTGGATTTGCTTGCCAGTGAGTGAAAATGAACAGTCTGTTGCCTCTGCTTTAGTAGTGAGTTCTGCTTCCTGCAGGTTCTGTGGTGCAAAAGTGACAAACATTCAACAGGATGTTCTTCTGCCAAGGGCTCTGATATCTTCTTGTCCCTTCAAATCAGACAAATTCCCATTGTAAATATTATATTAAAAGAATGCAGTGAGCTTTACAAGTGATAAACTATATGCTTGTACAGCCTTAAAACATTTTATTGAAAGAAAGGGGAAAAAGGAGTGGGGAGATGAAAAGAAGGAGCAGTAGTCTGGAGGGGAAGGGGGGGACAGAAAGACAAAATATCTTCTGTCCATTATTTCCATTCTGCCTCCCTCCCCCATATTAGGAAGCAGTGTGGTGGCGGGGGGGCAGAATTAGTTGCGTACCCCTCTTTTTCGGTGGCAAAGTAGAATCAGGAACATTGTAAGGAACTGTAAATCATATTTTTTAAAAAGTCCTCTCTACCATAGAACTGAGTTTAGTATCTTCGCCATAAAAGATTAGGTTTTTAGTCAGGCCCTTTTTTTAACCCTCTGATGTTCTTTACTGGGCTCATGTGACAGCACAGTGTGATACTACATGCGTGCTTGGATGCAGCAGCAACATCAGTCTCTCTTAAGATGTTTCTTTCTTCCTTCCACCTCTTCACTCGGAAGTGGCTGCTGCAGTAGCTCAGTTCTCTGCTAAGCAGCATGTGGGTGGGGAATATGCTTCCTCAAGAGGTCAAGGTTCTAAGCTGGACTGTAGATGAAAAGGCATTTAGCTGCTCAGGTTGTTTTTGCTGCTTGAACCCTTATTCTCCAGGTCTGCAGTGGAAAATAGTGAATGGAAATGTCCCACTAATCAAATCAAACCTGCAAGCCACAGCTGAGCCACACCAGCTTAGGCTCTGAGCAACCTGATCTAGTTGAAGATGTCCTTGCTCATTGCAGGGGGGTTGGACTAGGTCCCTTCCAACCCAAATTATTCTGTGACTCTATAACTTGGTCCAAACATAAATGTCTGAAGGCAAGAAGTGGTTAGGCATGGTAAATGTATTTCTTTGGGGGTGTTTTGTCTGTTATGTTTCTTAATAGGAAAAATATGGTGTCTTCATGCAGAAAGTTTGAAAGTAGCACTTCATTTTTACTTACAGTACTAGAAACATGGATTACAACTTTGCTCATCTGGTATGAGTGAACTGCTATCTACATAGTTTCTTTCATATCAGATATGAGTGTATCATTAAATTTGTATCAACATGTTGGTTAGTTTTTTTTAAACAAGCAAAACGACTAATTTCTAATCTGACACATTTCCTTTTGCTTTCGAAGATGATCCAGAGGGTGCCTTTGTTCCACCAGAATTTGATGTCACCGGTAACACTTTTGAGGCAAGTTCATAAATTTATCTGTAAAAATAGAGGGGGGTTTGCTCATTTTAGTACTTCTGGCAGTACCAAATGCTCAGTGTTCTCAATGTATAATTTTAACGTTTTTAAAGATTGTAAATAGTAAATTGTGCTATTTAGATGTGGCTTGTAGAAATAAAAAGTGAACTTAAAATGCTATATTAATTTTCTGTATAAACATTTGTTCATTAATTGTTAAAATATGAGAATGTTTTGGCTGAATAATGTGTTGCCCCAAACCACAGCTGGTCTGTATTATGTTCACTGGTATCCTTCACTGGTTACATTTGCTTGTTTGGGGACTTGCTGTGGACTTTTATGACTAAATATAAAATTTGTTTGCCATCCTCTTCAATAAAATATTTCATGGAAGGGTAATCAGCAGTTTTATCTTTGATTTAATGAAGAAACAAATTACTATCTGTTGCTTTGCAATGCACAAGTGCTCTACATTGTTAAATTAAATTAAATTTAAATTGTTTATACTAATTCATTAGCCTCCCAAGTCAACCATCTCATTGCATGCTGCAGGAGTGCTTGTTTCCTTAATATCTTTTTTTAATACAGTATTTTTTCTGGCATGTATTCTTAGATAATTCAAATGCTTTAATTAGCAACATGTTCTAGTCAAGGTATAAAAAATTCTTCTGTTTCTTTATAGTTCAGTACAAATACCTTTTACTTTTCATAGTTACAGCTTTCATAGTCATGTTTATAGCTTTCTATATTTCATTGGGGAAGAGGGTAAGTGAACCTTGGAAGTGTGGAGTACAAGTTAAGATGAGAATAAGGCAGGAAGGGTAGTATTATAAAATATGAAGTAGTACAGTGTTTGAAGGTTAGAGTTGCAACATTTCTCCCTGTTGCTATGGTTTGTTAATGTAGTTATATAGGCCAGCAGAGCTCTAGTGATCTTGTGCTTGCTTACCCCCTCACCCCCAGCCTGTTTTTTGGGGGAGGCTGTTTGGGGACAGAGGACCAATGCAAGTGGGGGTGGCTGGGGGGTGACCAATATTGCATGTAAACTTTGCAACTGTAGTAGTCTTCACATTCAGATACGCTTGAGGAAAGCAAGTCCCAAAGTCGGTGATTTTTTTGTTTCTTTTTGTTGTACTTCTGAAGCTGGACTCTAAGATTTTACATAAATACGTTCTTCATCCCTTTCCCCTTAACAAGTCTCCAACACATGACACAAACACAAGATTTGTGAAATTATTTGCTTCTCTGGCAAGCTTAGATTTCCCCTCAACCCTTTCTCCTCCTCTAGGAGTTGCTGAATTCTTATGCATATAGCAGCTAGATAAACTGACAAGGGGTTTGACAACCAAGGGGATGGGACAAAGTGAAATGGAGATTGGGAAGACGCTGGGAATACTGAGTGACCTGAAGGTCTTGTTCTGTTTGATATACAAGGCCATTGTATCCCTCTTGGGTGAAACTTGTCAGTGTACAGGCTTATTATTTAACTCTTCTTTCGGCAGTATTTAGAAGACTGTTAAGCACCAGCGAATCTCAATACCATGCACAGCACAAACAACAATTACAGAGTCAGTGAAAGCAGTTTGAGTCAGGAGTGGGTCTGAACATTGACCCTTCTACTTTTTCTGCGAAGGTCAGTGAAGATACATAAAAGTACACATTTGTATGAAGGAAGCTGACATGCTCTGCCTTGTGAAGTACGGTAAGGGCTGAGTGCACTGACTTCTGTCCATTGCTCCTGTTTCTTTATCTAGCAAGTTGGGGAGCCTTGTACAGCAGCGAGAGCAGTGCTACAACAGTGTCCTGTTGCCTCGGCTGTTTCTCATTGACCATGCTAGGGCAATGCAGAAGTCTGAAAAACTAGGCCTTTCCCCTTCACCGAGGCAAAGGTGTATTGTTTTACCCTGGGATTTGTATGCATTTTGTCAGACAGCTATGGGATGCTGAGTATTCATGGAACTTTCAAAGCTTTACTTCTTACTGCTTGAGAGTTGGTTGAACCAGATCAAATTCTCCCAGAGATTCTATGCTGACCTCTGCTTGCTTTTGCAGTTTCTGAGACCTACAGTGGGTTAATCCTTACGTACTTGTTACAAGGGTTTTATAATGTTGCAATCTTTCCAAGCTAGCTGTTTCCTCCTTGGTGCTAATACTTAAACTTCTTCTTCTCTTTTTCAAAGGTTTTGATACTTTTGTCTATCCCCTCAGCCCTAGATGTAACCTCCTACTGGCCAGAACAGCACTGGTTTATATACATCTCTCTACTTTCTCAGTATTATGAGATTCTTTGTACTATAACAAGAAGCAGCTCCTTTTTACAGGGGCATCAAATCTTTTGTGTTACTACTTGCTCCTTCCTTGGCAATGACCTTACTCAGATGTTCTTTGTTGAAGGCGTATTTTTGCAGCTGCTTAGTACGCTTTATTGAGAACAATGGAAAGTAGTGTTTGTATTGAAACTGTCCAATTTCAATATAAAGAAAAAAATTAGTATTGGAACTACTAATTATGTTCAGGACAATCTTTGATAGCTGTTAATCCAGTGTCAAAGCTCAGCTGGTTTAAAATACTTATGTCAGACAGAGGTTTTGCTTGATTGGAGTGTGACCTATTTCATGGCGTCTAAAACAGAAGCACACAATGAGGTTTGTGTAGCTACTGGATGACTTCTTCCTCTTTAAACTCTTTTTTTTAAAAATCCCTCAAATAAAGCTACAGTTATTTCAACAAGAGATGTTTTGTTTCCCGCTTGGTGAATTACTGATCCAGACCTCTAATGAAATTGTGACTCTAGTCTAATTAGTTACTAAACTTAGCTGGCACTCACAAGCACACAAGGGTAATAGACACAGGAAACAAATTGAAATGTGTTACTGTCCTGGTGTCTGAAACAACGCTATTAAAATTTTTAGTTTCCAATTGGAGTTTCAGATAGCAAGAGATCTAAAGCTTCATCCAAATGACAATGCACAGGACTGAAAAGTAATTGATTTCATGTGGTTTGTTTTAGACTTGTGCCTTGTTTCCTGACCTGCTCTTCATTTGTAAAGTGGGAGTAATAATACCAACTTCAGTTACTGTTGAGAGTAGGAACGTAAAAACTAGCCCTTCAGGGAGCTGTCAGCTTCAGTGTCAGGTGTAGAGTAGACTTTTAGAGAGGAAGGTGTTAAGGTATGCTACTGTGGAGAGCAGTACAGAATGTGAATTTTTCTGTTCCAGAAAAACATGAAGAGGCTGAGAAGCAAAAATACAGATTTGAGGCTTCTTTTAAAATTTGCCTGCTTGACTATATACTGGGCTTACCAAACAACTCATCTTCAGTATAAACTATTAGAGTCTTGATTCCCTCCTCTAAATAGGAAGAGCTTTAACCTTTTCATGATGAAAATGGTTCCTATTTCATTTTCTTGCCCTGCACAGTACAGTGATAGACTTATGAAATTTGTCATATTGGGAGGCCCAGCAGG